ACCTGCAGCGCTAAAGCTGCTTACAGTGAGCTGAAGCCACAAGCGATGGTGAGTTGAAAGCTTTTTCCAGCTTGTTGATTACCCACTCACTGTGGAGCAGACCTATGGCCCTTCATCGTCACCGCGATATGTCTCCCACCACGAGTACCCAACACCTCCGCCACTTCAGCATTCGGTAGAGTTCCCGCTCCCGTCCTCAATGACATGTTTAGCTAGCCAAGAATGTGCTAATGAAAGGCAGATGTTACCCTCAGCTATTCAGGTCAATACGGCGCCTCCTGCCGCGGACGATGGAGTTGTTCCTAGCAAATTGAAAGCGACTCCTCCTCGCTGGCCATCTTCATCAGCCTTGAAGCTTTCCCCAGGGGAAGTAAGAGTGGCTAAAACTCCCAGAATTAGGCGCAGAGCGAAAAAGGCGAGCAATCGAGAATCGAAACCCAAGCTACCTGGTCCTTTGAGCAGAGTTACCAAGCATCTGACACATGTTCCCCTCAGAGACATGGATAGCTGGGTGCGTCGGCCCAGAGAGGTGCGTCACAAGGAGGTTGCCAGAAAGAATGGCAAAGTTGCCAGACCCATGAACTCGTTCATGCTCTACCGGTCTGCATATGCCGAGCGGACTAAGGAGTGGGTTGCACAGAATAATCACCAAGTCGTTTCAAAGGTCGCAGGTGACAGCTGGAGGATCGAAACGCCAGAGATTCGCGAGAAGTATGAGCTTCTAGCGAACATGGAAAAGGCCAATCATCTCAAAGCACACCCAGGTTACAAATTTTCTCCATCGAAGGAAAAGAAGAAACGATCTGAGACGGATGACGACCAGCTGACCGTGGATGGTGGCGAGATGACCTCTGGATCTAGCCCGACGTTCCTCCAGGTTCGTGCCGCGGGCTCGTCCGAGGTCGACAGCAATGGTTGGGCCAGCCGCGACTCAACACCCATTAACTTTCCCGAGCATGGGCTGCTCACGACGACATATTATGGTTCTTCGTGGCAGACCAGTCATCACAGCAAAGACATGCTGTCACCTCCCAGGCCCTCTCCATACCTCCAGCAGTCAATGCATCACAACCTCATGGGCCATCCTACTGAAGATCCTCGATTCAAGCATGTTGGACTCCAGGACATCCCGTTCACCTCATCGACGGTGCTGGCCGGGCTGCCTGGAGCCGCCCACCACAACCTTCTTCAACCCCAGAACACCCCTGGAACTGGACCCAATGGTCAGCTGGATCCTCAGTTGCTGTCATTAAGCGACCACTCTAGTCAGCATGCGATGTACAGCCAGCCGCACTATGCAATCTGGCAAGAAGTCCCGACAAGCAACTGCTATGTCCCTGTTCCCTCCCCGCTGCCATCTACATACCATGTCGGCGCCACCTATAATCAAGGCATGCAGACTCTCGGGGATAGCCGCGATACTTGGGATTCTGCCGACAACGAGACCAGCCTTGATGCTTCCAATGGCGAATTCGAACACTGGATCAACTCTCAGGCATCCGGATATTCATGCTAATCGACAATGTGACATTAATCAAGGCAGCTTCATTTGTGTCCCTGTCTTTTGCAACGAGAAGATGAGCGACATGTCATGCCTACTCATGTGTGTTTTGGGATTTCTTTCTGTCATGTTGGGCTGGCCTTTTGTAATTTAGAAGAAAACCTCAGGGTCGGAGTTGTACAGGCGCGGAGTCTAGTATGGTGGGACTGGGTGATACCCTGCTTTCTTCAGGTCTCCTGGTGCTTCTGTCTCTTTGGTGGCCCTATCCTAGGTTTAGGCTGTTATTGGCGTCATTTACATAAGGAATTAGGTGTAACTACAAATAATACAGAGCCAGTTGTATCTTGTCGTTTTGTGAATTTGCTGAATTTTCTAGAAGGGCCGCTATAAAGCAGACAAACTTTCAGCGGAGAGATGGTTAATTGGTCACGAGGGAGTCAGTGTCGGTCTTCGCGGCTGTTTGGTGGAAGGTAGGTTATAACAGCGAGTGAGCATATCTCCCACTACAAGTGAAATGATTCCTCGTGCTGCTGACATACCTGTCCACTTGTACTGGATTTGCGACAGAACAAGTGTTCTGATCCTTATAGCTATAGTAGCTAGGCTGCAGGATTTGCTATAAGCATTATGGCTAGAACTATAGTAGGATATCCCTAAAGGAAATAGAATAAAATATTATTAGTATTATAAGCATCTTACCTAGTGTTAAGGTGTCTACTGTGCAGGGTAGAAGGCCTGTCAGTCAGGTAAGGAAGAAGGTACCAAGTCAAATTATGGCAAGACTGTTTCTTGAGGAACCCTCAAGAATCCTTCATGAAGCATTCTATTTAACATATAGCCTCCCTAAGAAACTTCTTAAGTCCTTGTTGAGCGTAATCAATGATTTGAAATTGAATACAAGGACAACTCATCAGCTGAAGGACCCATGCAAGAGATACGCATCTCATGCTGCCTAAAAGAGGGGAACACCAAGCTGCGCAACTAATCAAGTCACGCCACTGATTTTATAGCAGAAAGAAACCACTTCTCTTAGGGGAATATGTCAGGTGGGTATAACCTCAAGGAAACTAGAAAGGGAAGTGCATGGAAGAAAAGACCGTAACATTTTTGGTGGTCTGGATATATATACAGTGCAACCACCTTATTGTTTCTATAGTGTTGTACTTGGAATAGTTTTTGCCATTTAAGCCAAAGATGGTGAGAAAGAGTTATGGTGACCATTCTGAAAAGAAGACTGTGATATGTCTGAGACATCTCAAATAATCCAGGCTAAATAATTCTATGTTGGTGTGTTTCTTGCTCCTCGATCATCTATTGGTTGCATACTACATCTTAAGCGCTGTAATCTATGTACGAAGGGTGGTAAAGGCAGTGAATATGGGTCTGTGGTGATTGGATGCTCCAAATTACAGAGTGTATCAAGTTATACACGGAAAGGGAAAACTGCTGTTCTGGGTTAGTGTGTTAGGTGATCTTGATCCATTGAGTCATCATGGTCATGTCCTGACCCGGCCTTATGTGATCTAGAGTCATGAGTCCCGGTTGAGCGGCCTGCTCGCGAGTCAGGGTCGAAGTCTGACCCTAACCCGACCCGCGGCCACCCTAATCTAAATAGGTCCAATGTACGACTTTACCCCCGCTGCGGGGTACCTGCTCTGTCAGACGTATCTCTTTTGATAGGGCACATCGGCTAAGGAGGAGGACCTATAAAAGGAGATCATAACAATGACTGTCCGTGTACGATACCAACTTGCTGGTGAGCGGATGACCCCTGCTCTAGGACCGTCTTGATAGCCCTGAATTACGGAGCTAAGTGGCATACAACGTACAACGTTACTGTCCTAGTGCCTCGCAAGCATACTTCTGTGGGTCTGTACTTTTAGCCCCAGCCGGAGCAATTTCCGAGTTTGGGGATCAGCAGCTCACCTAGCTGGGCTTCAGCTCTGTGTAGTCTGTACTACTGTACTACCGTTGGGCCCCGCCACAGGTGCAGCTGAGCGGCACGTCTGACTGGATACGGAGGGGCTACTTAGTAGATTGTTGGACGCCTCGAGTCCGCCGTCTTACTGATCGCCCCTTATTAGGCCGGATCCGGTAAATACTAAGGCGGGCGTGGCGTTGGCGAAGAGAAACAAAGCTTTCGGGTTTGGGAAAGATCTCCCCTTTCCACTTGGGTATTGCCAGAATTATATTACGAATTATTCATATACTGATTCAGCTGTATATTACATAACTACGTCTCGTTATGGATCATGGTGAGATGACACCATCAGTACAATCAAGGTCATTGAGGTAATCTTCAAAACTGAGGCGCTCTAGACAGTGATACTGTGATAGTGTAAGAGTCTATGCTGTTAGACATAAATAATCTTGTTGCGATTCTTTGAATAGACTCATATCTTTGAGAGTGGACATATCAATGACAAACTGGCATATTAATGGATTCAGCACTCCCATGCCGCTACAGTGGTCTAAGAAGGGGTATATTACCTTCTTCTTTGCGATGGATACGGCTCCTATATCAACTATAACTCATCAGATCCTGTGAGCAAAGGTGTATCATAATCTTCTTTCTAATTCTGCTTACAAACTATATTCTTTAGCCTCTCAATGTTGCTGCATTCAATGTCTTTAAGCACTGGCATAGTAAAGCTATTACCAATGCTACCCAATCTGGATGCAGGGAGTTTAGTAAGATCAAATTCATGAATGCTCTCTCAGAGATACAACGTCAAACCTTCAAAAAGTCTACTATCTTAGCTGGCTCCAACTTACCAGGCTGGTTCCATGGAATCCAGATATTATCATCACGAGCCTACCAGAATGTCAACATTATACACCAGCTTCAGAGGCAACTAGTAACACTATCTAGACATATGGAAGCACAATAAAGACGGTATCTCAATTCAAAATGGTTAGAGATGCTGCTTATCACCTGCAAGGGTATAATCAAATACATAATCTTAAGATGCTAGACAAGGGTGCTGTTACGCAGGCTCATCTGGATACTGTGCTCTCTAAAGACCCATACAATTCAGCTGCCGCGCAGAAGGCCCGTGAGCAGCAATCTAAAGCCTCAAAACACCGGATACGGGTAGGAGTCACCGTATCTAGTTCAGGCCTCTCACAGGTTAGAAGCTTAAGAAAGATCATTCGATACCAAGGAGAGGTTGAAGCTGCGCAAGATATGGCGCACAGTGATGACGGAGTTGGTTGACCATGCTATTGACCGCAGAATAATTATTAAATATCAGGGTCGGTGATATGAATAATATGGATGCGAATATAAATAATATGGATGCGAATATGAATAATATGAATGCGAATATGAATAACAGGCTTATGCACGCGAATATGAGTATGCCCGCATATCCATACTCCTTTATTCCTTTCGGAGCCCTACTCGTACCTCTCCTACTGCCCTTCTCGTATGAACGGACCCTTACCTGGTTCACAGGTCGACTGGTCTATACTGCATCCCAGATCATAACAGCCATCTTCACAGGCAGGCGCCTATCAGAGCGAGAAGCTGTTCTTTGGGTACGCGCCCCGCGCAGTGTAACAGCAGAGTGGCCGCGAGCGCGGACCCCGAGTCTTTCTGCCACGCGGTGCCGTTGGAGGAGGCCAACGCAATCATGATCGTCCACAAGTTCGGAAGCTGCCCGTCGTTAGCTGTCTTCTGCGCAGAAGGGCCGAATCTTTTGGTCTCTTGGAACAAACTTACTTCCCTCGGAATTGTCTTCTTCAAGGCCTGCAGGACCTGTGCTGTGTTTGCCATGTTGGCACCATTCCGAGTCTCCGCCGTCATCATTAGAGGCGCAAGGGCAGCGTTGATGGCGCTGCTCGCGTCCTTCTTCTCCGCCACCAACATGGCCTCGGTTGACCGCAATATCTCCTCGAAGAACCCCCGCCGCTCCCAGGCGCTCCATTCCTTGGAGGCGTTGAATATGTCTGCTATCGCCTTGGGGAGGCGCCTGTTGCGGCTGAGTCGTTGTTCGTTCGCGAGCTGCGAGGACTCTGTAAACTTTTCTCCATAGTATGCAATGACCAGCGCATCGAAGTCGTTGAATCCCAGTGCATCCACACATTCCATGATATATTCAAACCGTTCGTTTATCGTTGCGTCATTGTCCAGAAGACTGGGTGAGCCCGCCGAGTCCGACGGCGAGGCCATACCGGCTGTCGTCATGTGAGCCATGGTTGATGATAAGTTTGGCTGCGTGACGACGTCCAAGGGATCTGTGGGGAACGAATTCTGCCACATTAAGCGCGAGAGATTGTCGGTTTTCTAGAAATCGGAATCGTTGTGATGGTTCAAGAGCGGTTGTCCATAGAGGCTGTCCGGCATGAAAGGTGTTTCTTCGTTCGCCTGCGCCGCCGTCCGTTGCTGGTCTCGTCGTCGGCGACGTCAACGGGGCGACAACAGCGTCCGTCGCAGGTTGGTGGTTCTCTTGGATATCGACGATTGAGCTGCCCAAACCGCTATCGGCAAAGGGCTCCTCATCGACGGCCGACTGCCTCTTGCTGTTGCCCTCATTCTGTTCTACTCTGGCCTGGAGCTCGACGATGCGAGACTTCATGCGCTGGCCTGTGGACGACTAGTTAGGTATGCATCTTCCTGGCTGGTTGGGAAGTTTTGAGTTACGATAGGTTCTCTGGGCAACCCTGTTTTGAATCCTATTCTTCATCTTGCGATCTTTGATACGCGTCCAGTCATCTTCGGGGCTTAGATCAACAGGATTTGGCAGGGCATAGAGCGGGATGTTAGGTAGTTTGGAGGACGGTTGCTGCTTGTCCGTGTTGAACGACATGATGAGCATGTGGAGGTAGTCCAGAGCTCGCAACAATCAATTGATGTCGGGTCGCGATCGACAAGTCTGTGTACTTAATACCCTTCAATCTAACGACTAATTGAAATACAAAAACACAGTGGTGCCGCAATAACGCCAGGCTGGTTAGCAGCCACCTTGGGAATCCAGACCACCATCCTAGCTTAGTAGCGATAGTAGTGTAATAATATGTTCAGCAGGGGTTACATCGTCGCGGCACGGCGCTGGAGGATTCAGGATCAAGCAGCTACAGTACTTATTAGCTGCTGCACAGCCCTAGTCTCAACCCCTGCGGGGGCTTACCGGCTAAACTACCCAGTACTACGAGTAGTCCCGAGGCGTAACTCCGTAGGAACGACAGCAACAACCCCAGCATGAGATTCCCTGATCCTCTGATATCCCCAGACCAGACAGCGACAAGAGAGCAAAATACTTTCACTTCAGAAGTAATGACCAAGTCTTGGCCTGATGCCGACCTCGTTATCCTGTACCTATGTTGCTATATGTACCGAAAATCCGCTGCTACCAGAACCATTACCAGTGGGCACAACCAAATCAATTGTGCTCCAGAATATATGAGAACACTCACTCGCACATATAGTTCGCTCATCAGGATCATTCATACTATGGTTACTTGGATATCCCTTCAATAGGGATGGCCACGTACAGTATTTGGTAAAAATTACAGTAAATCATACATTGGTCGCGGGTCGTGCCTCGCTAATTGGTTTGCAGTCAGAGCTCATAGGCACGGGTTGGCCTCTATGCACCGGTGCTCTTCGCCCTCGCGTAGACGAGGCCGCTGATAAACCCAAGCACAATAGCAGATACGCTCCCGAATGTGACGGGAGCCGCGAAGAAGACAATGCCTGCAACAGCCAGAGGAAGCTTGTTCAGGGCGCCCACCATGGCGTAGGTGGTAGACGACGTGGCTCGAACGCACCAGGCTGTGCAGTACGAGATAAAGACGGCGGCCACGCCAGAGTAGAGGATTCCAATAAACAAGCTTTGTCGTAACTCGGCAGGGAAGTTCCTCTGTAGGTTTTCAGAAGACCAGTCTTCGGCGAGCACGGAAGCAAGCAGCAGAATGGGGATGCTGAGCAGATTATTGTAGAACATGACTAAATCAGCGCGCCGTCAGTAAAGGTGCTTCGCCTACTAGCCCAATACACACACCGTCCCAGTTGTCAAAATTCGTCTTCTTGATTACCCTGCGCATGCCCAGTGCGTACGAGGCAGAGAAGATTACGTTCGTCCCCATCCAAGCGTAACCAGCATTGAGAGCCGACAGAGCCGCGGCTGTTGAATCAGAGCTAGCCCCTACGGTAGCGGTTGTCGCGTTCTGGATGTCGGCCCAGGCTGCCACAACGGAGCTGAGCACCATCAAGCCAAAAGACAGCAGGGCGAGAGGCTTCACGCCGCCCCCGACCATGAGAACTTCACCGTACGCAATGACGATGATTGTCAAATTCTTGAAGATGGTATAAACGGGAACGGAGAGGAATTGCAGCGCTTTGTTGCCCGTATAGATCATTCCGACCAGCAGCAGGGAAATCGGCAGCCCTGCGATTGAGTTTAGTGTTTGTTTGCATGCGACGGGGCCTAAGCGGAAGCCTCCTACACGTTTGGGCCTTCTTCAAGTCAAATAGGGCGAGGTTCTGGATGAGTCCTGTCTTTTTGCAGGCCAATATCGCCACGGTGCCAATGAAAGACTTGTGTGAAGTTAGGGTTCAATTTGTTCGAGTGATGCCGAATAAATATTAAAAAAAAAAAAAAAAAAAAAAAAAAAAAAAAACAAAAAAAAGAGACACACCTGCATGGCGAGATAGAGAAAGCTCAAATTCCAGCTGGCACCAGAAACGACGTACTTGTTCACCAAAGTCATGCTGATGGAGGACAGGCAGTAGGCGAGCACAGCAGCGCTGGCACTATTTCCAATAGTCGACGCAAAGCTCTTCACGGATCCAGAGATGTCGCCATCTCGTTGCGACCGACGCTCGTAGACGGGAAGCAATTCATCCTTGCTGACGCCGTTTCGCGCACTCGCCATGGCGCGTGCAGGAAAGGGGGAGGGTTTGGTTTGAAAGAGAAGGGGACGGAGTCGTCAGCCGATCGCAAGGTCACTGCGAAATGGGGATAGCGAGGAGGAGGCGGGGTAAAATGTTGGACAGGATAAGAAAGGACGAAGGGAGATGCACAAAGTGAAGTTGAATTCGACAATAATTTCACAATTCATGCAGGGGCGGATGGAGATCAGCTGACCTGCAACACCCATGCAGAGTTGGCTAAAGCAGTCTAGCGTTTTAGATAGATCAGCTCGACGTTCAGAGAGTTAGCTACATATACTAGTAACAGGCGTATAATGGCAATTATAATCGAGTCCCCTGATAACGTCAAGTTCGTAGCCAGGTCGTGATCTTGATTGGGACGATTCGAAATTGTTGTTATCAGAAGAATGTCTACTACCTATTTTTAGAATACTTCAAATGTACTACTAACTAGCCGCCATGCTCACCTAATCATAACCTAATATTAAGCACGCCTGGGCTAAGCTTGATTTTAACGCATTGATTTCATCCATGCCACAGTGTGTGAAGGCTGTCATTAAGGCTAATGGTTGGTATACTACATACTAGGTGGAAATACTATGTTTTTTGAAATCTACAGTTATTTTTCTCTAGAATCGTACCTTTCCATATAATTTTATGAGTCTGTATATAGTATGGTGGAAGAATTGATTTTCTCAAGAGAAATATATATTTTCAATTACAGGGGGGAGGACGGAAACTTTTGACGTAGAATTGTACATTCCGTCAGCTTACAGGCTACGACCTTACCATTGCGAGTAGGTATGAGTCGCGTGGCCTGAAGGCTTCGTGTAGAGGACAGCTCCACGCCCTGATCCCTGTAAAGCCAACTCATGCTGACCCACAGGTGCAGCCGAAAACGGTCAAGGATCAAGTAGGGATCACGACAGACTCGACAGTAATACTGTGGAATGCGGGGCCATTCCTTCTGTTGTTTCAGTTGGTGGGTTTTTGAGGCATTGTACGCAGACCAATCCATACCTACTCAATAGGTCCGGCGATGCGACACTAAGCACTAAGGCTGAGACGACACTGGCTGATCGAAGCAGTCGGCTCCGTCCCGCGTCGTACATTTGTTCAAGTCCCTTTGACATGTTACATCGTTCGAGCATCCTGGTTCATGAATAAGCGAATGGCATTGGGCCCGCGCTAAACGCAGCTCGAATGCTGTAGACTAAATGATTACTAGATAATATCCATTTTATCTGGATATTAGAACAAGTACAGGTGCTAGATAGGAAATGTCTGGATCTAGCTAGTCAAGTGCTAGATTATTACCTTAAATTACTAGTGCGTATGACACAAGTAGATGCGCACAGCAAAGGCCTACGGATGCCGGGGCTCGGTAAGTATCGTCGGATAATAGTAGTACTATTCATGCGTTCCTTGTATGGGGCCACGGTCTCAGCTGAAGCTCACAGCCTGCTTGATCATCGACATGACTGCGTACAGCCTGAGATAGGCTGAGCTAGACTGAGACTGAGCTAGACGTTCGCGCGTAACTCTGTCGGTTCACTCCTTGCTGGTCGCTACTCGATTTGTAACCGGCGTAATCACAGTTCGGTTAGCTACCAACTTGATAGTTTTGATTTGGATATACCACCACCATAGCCGATAAAGAAAGTGTGTGCCAACAACCTAACATACATCTCTGTAACCACGTCAACCAATTCCGACACCATGACGCTAAACGGCGATGATGCATATGACATCACAAGGAGCTATGAAGACGAGAGGTGAGAAATGCTGCTCGAAATGCTGGCAAGAGAGCAAACGGTAGCTAAAACCTAGTCCAGCGAATATACCGACGAGAGCGACGAGAGCGACGAGAGCGAGGAGCTCTTGGCCGACCTAACACTAGCTAGCAACTGGGATGCAAAGAGAGCAACCCAGTGGAATACTACTGAGGACCCCGAAATCATCGACAACTGCGTGCATCGCCTGATTGAACTGCAGACAAAGGCTCGACCGGATGCGCCAGCTGTGCACGCGTGGGATGGCCACTTCACGTATGCCCAGCTTGACAGCGCTGCCAATAGGCTGGCCCACCATCTTCTAGATTCCTTTGCGCTTCAGCCAGACGACCTGGTGCACGTGTGTTTCGAGAAGTCTGTTTGGTTCTTTGTATCGATTCTAGCCGTTAACAAAGCAGGCGCTGCCTGGGTTCCTCTTGACCCGTCGCACCCCGAGCAGCGCCAACGGCAGATAGTTAACCAGACCCGTGCTCAACTAGCTCTCTCCTCCCCGGCCAATTTTGCTATCTGCTCGGCGCTGGTTGCCGATGTCGTCGAGGTGACGCCTGAGCTGGACATGCGCCTGAAGCAAGATGGGGATTTGACTTCAAGTGTGCCAGTCTCTCGCGTCTCACCACACCATGCGGCCTATGTTCTGTTCACCTCAGGCAGTACAGGTACCCCGAAGGAGTTTGTGATGGAACATAGGTCCGTATGCACCAGCCAGACAGCCATCAGCCTCAGGCTGCAGCTTACACCAGAGGTTCGAATGCTGCAATTTGCCTCCTTTGTTTTCGATCTCTCTATTGGAGAAATTATTGCCACTTTAATTAGCGGCGCCTGTCTCTGTGTTATTTCTGAAGATACCCGCATGAATGGAGTGGTAGATTTTATTAATAACATGAATATCAGCTGGGCGTTTCTTACGCCCGCATTCGCCAGGATCTTGAAGCCCAGCGATGTACCAAACCTGGAGCTCTTGCTTCTGGCTGGTGAGGCCGTGGGCCGGGATGTTTTCGATATCTGGTTTGGGCATGTGCGCCTGGTGAATGGATGGGGCCCTGCTGAGACGTGTTGCTTCAGTACCCTTCACGAGTGGGATCGGGAGTCAGCTAGTGAATCTCCATCGACCATCGGCCGCCCCGTGGGATCCTACTGCTGGCTCGTTGACCTCAATGATGCTCAGCGGCTTGTTCCTATAGGGACTGTGGGCGAGGTTGTCATCCAGGGCCCAACCATGCTGCGCGAATATCTGGCAAATCCTGAACAAACTGAAATGAGTACGGTTAGGAAGCTCCCTGAATGGGCACCTCGTCGAACATCACCTTATTGGAACCGTTTTTATAAATCTGGAGACTTGTGCAAATACAACGCGAACGGTACTCTCGAGTTCATCAGCCGAAAAGACACCCAGGTTAAGATCCGTGGTCTAAGGGTGGAGCTTGGGGAGATTGAGCATCATATCAACTCAAGTCTGGAAGAGGCACGACAAGTGGCTGTCGATATCTATGAGACTCCAAACGGCCCGAGCCTTGCAGCGTATTTCTGTTTTAAAACTGCCATGAAAGGGCCCGATGCTCAAGGTAGTGACGAGGCCGAAGGCTTGTTTATGCCGATTACAGATCAGCTGGAAAGCCGGATTACTGCCATGGTTGGCGAGTTGAACATCAGACTTCCCCGTTACATGATCCCATCACTCTTCATACCCTGCCGCTACATGCCGGTCATCACGTCAACAAAAATTGACAGAAACAAGCTCCGGAAGTTGACCAGCAGCCTCAGCCAAGGGGATATTGCTATGTACTCACTCATGGACAAAAAAAAGCAACCCCCAGAGACTCCGATGGAGCTTAGACTTCAGGAGATCTGGGCTGAGCTCCTCAAGCTACCATTAGATGCGATAGGCCGTGACGACAGCTTCTTACGCATCGGCGGTGATTCGATTTCTGTCATTCAATTAGTATCCAGGGCACGATCTGTGGGAATCAATCTCGTAGCGAAGGACATTTTCAGGGATCCACGACTGTACACCATGGCCCTAGCAGCCTCTGAGATAGATACGTCGTTCTACAGACAATATTTCATACGAAGCCGGACCTTTCGCTTTGATCCCACGGGAAATTGACCTCGAGTGTATGACAGCCCAAGCACGTCATCAGTGCCGTTTGCCATATAATCAAGTAATCGAAGACTCTTACCCTTGCACCACCCTCCAGGAAGGGCTGATGGCCCTTGCAGCCAGACAGCCTGGTTCTTATATCGCCAAGCATATATACCGACTTCCAAACCATGTCAATATTGACCGTTTCCGAGCAGCATGGGAGCAAACCATGCGAGTTTGTGCCAATCTGCGAACTCGAATTATTCTGTATGACGGTTCCTCCCTCCAGGTCGTTGTCAAGGACGACATATCGTGGGAAAACGGAGCAGATATGCAATCGGCACTGAGCGCGACGTGGGACGCGGACATGGCTTATGGATTGCGTCTCTGCCGCTACGCCATTGCAAAGGATGATGGGAAGCACTATTTCCTGTGGGCCATCCATCACACCATCAACGATGGATGGACTAATCGGTTGGTGTTGGATACACTGCACCAGGCATACCAGCATGCCGAGATCCCTGCTATGCAGCCTTACAGCAGCTTCATACAATATGTCACAGACATGAACCGCGATGCCGCCAGCGAGTTCTGGAGATCCCAGCTCCAAGGGGCGCAGCGGGCTATATTCCCACCAGAGCAGCGTGTATCGGCATCACGCAGCGCCCAGAAAAGCAAAACGCACTCGTTCGCGAGATCCATCGCCTTTCCTAGTGCGAAGGATAGTTCGATCACGAAGGCGACGATTCTCCGCGCTGCCTGGGCGTTGGTGCTGGCGCGGTATTGTGACACTGATGATATATGTTTCGGCACCAACGTCTCAGGTCGACATGCACCCATCCCCGGGGTGGAGAGAATGCCCGGTGTGGTGGTTGCTACCGTCCCCGTCAGAATGCGGCTTGACTCTCGGCAGACCGTGTCGAATTTCCTCCTCGATGTCCAGAATCAGGCCTCTGACATGGTACCCTACGAGCAGTTCGGACTCCAGAATATTTCCAAGCTCAGTGAAGATGCTCATGAGTACTGCAATTTCTCTAGCTTGTTCGCCGTCCAGCCGATTAACCAGATGAGCGGCACGGGAAGCTCATCCGACGGCATTCTGGCCCTGGCAGGATCGTACGAAGACAGGTCTAAGGATGCCATGGACGGATACTTCAATTACCCGCTCATTGTTCAGTGCCATTCCTACGAGGAATATTTTGATCTCGTCTTCATCTATGACTCCGGCGTGCTAGATGAGCCTCAGCTTCACGCGATGTGCGAACATTTCGACCACGTCACGCAGCAGCTGGCGGCGCAGGACGAGAGAAAACTGGGCTCGGTGAGCCTCGCTGGCTCTTGGGATAGAGAACAGGTTCTCCAATGGCACCGGGAAGAACCGAAGCTTGTGAATGCCTGTGTTCACGAATTAGTGGCAGAGCAAGCCTCGCGGACTCCAGACCACGAGGCGCTTGTATCGCGCCAAGAGACGCTCACCTATGCTCAATTGGACCAGTTGTCAACTTAGTTTGCAGTGTATCTATCCCAGCACGGCGTGAGGCCAGAGTCCCTAGTGCCCATATGCTTCGAGAAGTCAATCTGGACCGTCGTTGCCCAGCTGGCTGTCTGGAAAGCAGGCGGAGCGTTCCTACCGCTTGACCCTGCACATCCGAAATCCAGGCGGCAGGCGTTGGTTGCAGAGTCAGGTGCGCGAGTCATGATTGTTTCCCCGTCGCAGGCAATTCCGTGCGCCAGTATGGCTTCAACTGTCCTCGAGTTGTCACCAAGCCTGATACTGTCGCAGCTTTCGAAGTCTGATCGGGCCTTGCAACCGTCCCATCGACCTAGTCCGAGCAACGCTGCCTACCTCATATTCACTTCCGGCTCTACAGGTAAACCAAAGGGTGTCGTTGTTGAGCATTCAGCGATATCCTCCAGCATCATGTATCACGGCAAGGCCTATCACATGAGTGAAGAGTCTCGGGTTCTACAATTCGCCAACTACACCTTCGATAGAAACCTGAGCGAGATCATGACGCCACTGGTATATGGAGGTACTGTCTGCGTGCCGTCCGACACAGAGCGGTTGCAGGACCTGCCGGCCTTTGTGGGAGACACTCGCGTCAATCTTGCCATCATGACGCCGTCTCTCGCGAGAAGCTACAGCCCACAAAGCATGCCCACCCTGAAAACACTGATTCTAGGAGGCGAGCCTCCAAGCAGAGACAATCTCCACTGACGAGGTCCCCACCAATATTGGCCGTGCCTTCAACAATCGTTGCTGGATCGTTGATGCTGACAATCATCAACGCCTCGCTCCGATCGGCTGCATGGGTGAGCTGCTGGTTGAAGGCTACGCCCTGGCTCGAGACTACCTAAACGACGAGGAGAGGTCAAAAGAGCTCTTTGTTGGAGCACCTCAATGGCTTCCCCCTGCTTCACGAGCTCAACAGCAGCGGAGATTCTACAAGACAGGGGATTTGGTCAAGTACAACTTCGATGGCTCGATCGACTTCCTGGGAAGGAAGGACACACAAGTAAAGCTCCGAGGACAACGGATTGAACTTTCTGAGATCGAGTACAACATCAAACTGGCCTTGCCATCCGTGAAGCATGCGGTTGTAGACAAATTGCAGCGGAACTCCGGCGAGTTTCTGGTTGCAGTTGTCAGTTTCATGGATGAGCAGAAGGCCTTTGGAGATGGCAGCCCTAATTCATGGCTTCAGCCAATGACCGAGAATGCAAGAAAATCTCTTGCCATGGTTACTGAAGCACTGGAAGCCGCCTTGCCCGCCTACATGGTACCGTCGTTTTTCGTCCCGGTCCACGAGATGCCAACTGTCAGCTCGACCAAGATTGATCGCAAGAAGATACGACAGCTCGCGAGCTCTCTCCAGCCGGAACAACTCGATTCCTTCTCCTTGGAACAGCGGGAAAGATTCCCACCGTCCGAAGAGATGGAGTTCCGGCTGCGAGACCTGTGGGCCACCGTTCTCAAGATGGGCGCCGAAGCGATTGGAAAGCACGATAGTTTTCTGAAGATCGGCGGCGATTCAATCTCTGCTATTCAGCTGGTAGCTTTGGCTCGCGAACACGGTATCGAACTATCGGTGACGAAGATATTTGAGAGCCCACGGCTAGATACGATGGCAGCTAATGCCATGAAGCCTGATAGCACCGCGACGTATGAGGCAGAGCCTTTCAGCTTGCTCCCTGAAGGTATCACCGCGGAGCAAGTCAAAATTCTTGCCCGGACTGCTTGCAAGCTATCGGAGTCTCAAACCATAGAGGATGCATACCCTTGCACTGGTCTCCAGGAAGGTCTAATGGCACTGGCAGTTAAGCAGCCTGGCTCTCACGTTGCCAGATATCTATACCGATTGCCTGGCCATATCGACATTGAGAGGTTCAGGGCTGCATGGATCCAAACTGTCGCCATCTGCAGCAACTTGCGGACAAGAATCTTCCTCGCAGATGGCCGTTCCATCCAGGTTGTCGTCAAAAATGACATAACGTGGGAGGATACGAATGGCCTGCATCCAAAATTAGTCCTCAGCTCTACGGAAGCTGGTCAAATGCAGTATGGATCTCGACTCTGCAGATATGCGTTGGCCAAAGACGAAAATGGCGAGACCTATTTCATCTGGGCCACCCACCACGCTATCTTTGACGGTTGGACGAATCGTCTGGTCCTGGATACTTTGCAGCGGATGTACAACGGCGCCGAAGCGCCGCCTCTACAGCCATACAAAGGTTTCATCAAGTACGTGACGGCTCTCCAGAATCAGTCCACAAGCAGTTATTGGAAGGCTCAGCTCCAAGGTGCGAAGCCTGCTACATTCCCGGCTCAGGGCAGCCGCACATACGGGTCGGGGCGTAACCTGACAGAGGCCATCCAACTCCCCCGCTTGACCAACAGCTCAATTACAAAGGCCACAATTCTGCGTGTGGCTTGGGCAATGGTCTTGGCCCGGTACTGCGAGACAGACGATGTCTGTTTCGGCACTACTATCTCTGGACGACAGGCTCCGGTTCCTGGGGTCGACAAGATGCCTGGCCCTGTTATAGCTACCGTTCCAGTGAGGGTTCGCCTGGATCAGAGGCAAACAGTCTCTGAATTCTTGTTAAACACTCAGAACCAAGCATCCGAGATGATTGCTTATGAACAGTACAGCCTCAAGAATATCTCTACTGTCAGCCCCGACGCGAAGGGCACCTGTGATTTCTCCAGCCTCCTTGTTTTACAGCCCTTGGAGAAAATGAGCGCTGCCAATGGGTCGTCATCACAAGGGATCCTCATCAGTACCGACTCCGAAGAGGAGCAGGACACTGCTTGGGTAGGAAATTACTTCACATATCCTCTGGTTGTGCAAGCTATCATGATGGATGATCGAGTTGACCTGAATCTTACGTATGACTCGAGCGTTCTGGATAAGTCCCAGTTGATTGCTTTATGTCGCCAGTTTGGACATGTCACAGAGCAGCTTGTGTCCAAGTCCGAACGCACCTTGAGCGAGATTTCAGTAGCAGGACCCAGCGACCTGAATCAGGCACTCGAATGGAATCAAGAAGTCCCTGAGATCATCAACTCGACCATTCACCAGCTCATCGAGAAACAAGCCATCCTACGGCCCCATGCACCAGCCATATGTGCATGGGATGGCAATTTCTCTTATGAGCAGCTGGACAGCAAAGCAAATAGATTAGCGCACTACCTGCTTAGCAGATTCAGTATTGAAGCAGATGATCTCATCCACGTCTGCTTTGAGAAGTCAGCCTGGCATTTTGTCTCAATCCTAGCTATTAATAAAGCAGGGGCTGCATGGATACCACTTGATCCATCACACCCAGAGCACCATCACCGACAGATTGTCCAGCAGACGCAGGCGAAGCTTGTGTTGACGTCTCCCACTAATGCTTTGATCTGTGCCGGTCTGTTTAGAGATGTCGTGCAAGTGACACCCGAAATGGACTCAGAACTCGCCCTTGACAGCACGATCTCTGGTCCCCCTGTTTCCAACGCGTCCTCGGGCAGCGCCGCCTACGTCCTATTCACGTCTGGCAGCACAGGCGTTCCCAAGGGTCTCCTCATGGAACATGGAGCTGTGTGCACAAGTCAAACTGCTATCAGCCGTCGGTTGCGTATGGGATCCGACGTGCGAATACTCCAGTTCGCGGCATTTGTCTTTGACTTGTCTATTGGCGAGATTATTGCAACTCTGATCTCCGGTGCTTGTCTCTGTGTGCCATCTGAATCTACAAGGATGAACAGCATTACTGACTTTATTCGTGATATGAACATTAATTGGGCGTTCCTCACACCTGCCTTTGTACGAACCTTACAGCCCAGCAAAGTCCCCAGCCTTGACCTTTTACTTCTGGCTGGCGAGGCCGTTGGGCGTGATATCTTCAACACATGGTTTGGCAAACTACGACTAATTAATGGCTGGGGACCTGCTGAAACCTGCTGTTTCAGCACTTTACATGAATGGACGTCTCCCTATGAGTCTCCCCTGACGGTGGGAAGGCCTGTGGGAGGCTTCTGTTGGATTGTAGATCCTAATGACTCTACCCAACTTGCTCCTACAGGCTGTCTGGGAGAAGTGATGATTTAAGGTCCAACAATACTACGTGAATACCTGGCTAATCAGCACCAAACGGAAAGAAGCATAGTCAAAGCACTCCCTGAATGGGCTCCTAGGTGTGGCTTGCCACAATGGAGCCGGTTCTATAAATCGGGGGATCTGTGCTCATATCAACCTGATGGGACGATCCTTTTTGTGAGTCGTAAGGACACACAGGTCAAGATTCATGGCTTCCGGGTTGAGCTGAGCGAGGTTGAGTATCATATACGCTCCACCCTGGAGGGCGTGCAACAAGTTGTTGTTGATGTCGTCGAAACAGATAAAGGCCCAAGTCTTGCAACATTCCTTTGCTTTAGCAATGATACACAGCCTATAGACACGCATCGTCTTACAAATGGCGACGCAAAGACTGACAGAGTTTCCCAGTTAACCAAGACGACAATGCTAATATGTTCTTGCCGCTGACCTTCGACTTGCAGGATCAGATCACGGACTTAATTGGCACTCTCAACGTCAAGCTACCCGGGTATATGATTCCCACGTTATTCATCCCTTGCTGTTCTATACCCTTCATCACGTCTACAAAAGTAGATAGAAGAAAATTGCGTACTATGGCAGAGAACCTCGATCACGCCAACATGGCAATGTATGCCTTGGTCAACAGCAAGAAGCGAGCACCAGAGACTATAATGGAGCACAGGCTTCAACAGCTGTGGGCAGAGATACTAAATTTGCCAACAGAGTCGATTGGCCGCGACGACAGCTTCCTACGCATTGGTGGCGACTCTATATCCGCAATTAGCCTTGTATCGATGGCTCGCGACTGCGGGATTCGAATTACGGTTAAAGATATCTTTGACGACTCGCGATTGTCCGCCGTGGCTCTTTCTGCCTCCGAAGTGGCGGAATCAGGAGACGATGTCTCTGTCAAGGAGAGGTTCAGCCTCATCCCAGCCAATATGACTCTGAACGACATCATGCTCGCCGTCCAGAGCCAGATAGGGCTGGACCTGCCTATTGAGGATGCCTACCCTTGCACCGCTCTGCAGGAAGGGCTAATGGCTCTTGCGGTGAAACAGCCTGGCTCTTATGTCGCCAAACATACATACCGTATTCCTGACCATGTTGACATAGCTCAGTTCAGAGCAGCATGGGAGCAGACAATGAGGATCTGCAGCAACCTCCGTACGCGCATCGTCTTCGTGAATGGCTCCTGGATGCAGGTTGTCGTCAGGGACGATGTGACATGGGAAGGCACTGAAGGTCTCGATCTGCAGGCAACAATCAGCAAGATGTGGGAGATTGAGATGAAAGAGGCTTCCCGCCTGTGTCAGTATGCACTGATTGAAGACGACAAGAAGGGAGCTCATTTCATTTGGGCTGTCTACCACGCCGTGTACGATGGATGGTCTATGGGCCTCACTTTGAAGACGCTGGGCCAAGTGTACAGACAGACTGAGATCTCAACCCTGCATCCGCATAGCTCCTTCATCAGGTACACAGCCGCGCTTGACAGCAAAGCTGCCAGCGAGTTCTGGCAAGAGCAGCTATTTAGAGTCCAGCGTGCCAATTGGCCCCGGGACAAGCGGTCGTCTGCGTCGTCTGCTGCTCTGTCCAAGCAAGCAACTCGCCTGTCTGGAAAGACCATTCAGCTCCCCCGTTCGACCAACTCATGTATTACCAAGGCGACAGTGCTACGTGCTGCCTGGGCTCTGGTACTGGCTCGATACTGCGACACTGATGATATTTGCTTTGGCACCACAATTTCCGGACGGCAAGCCCCCGTGCCCGGTGTGGAAACAATATTAGGCCCTCTGGTGGCGACAGTTCCTGTGAGGATCAGATTGGAGCAGGACCGAAAGGTTTCCAGCTTTCTTTCTGACGTTCAAAGCCAGGCATCTCACATAATTGCCTACGAGCAGTTTGGGTTACAGAACATTGCCAAACTGAGTGCTGACGCCAAAGATGCCTGTGACTTTTCAAGTCTCCTTGTCATCCAGCCAGCCCAAGTGTTGACGAACGCTACTAACGGCGCAGAAACGGTCTTGATGCCTGCTGATCTACATGAGCTTTCATCAACCCACCGCATGGAAAGCTACTTCAGCTACCCGCTGGTCATACAGGCTCACGTATCAGATAATCATGTTGAGTTGCTCACGATTGACAACTCAGATGTCATAACTGAGCCTCAGGTCCAGGCGCTCTCTCATCAATTCGACCACATTGTCCAACAACTTCTGACAGGCGCCCAAGGGACTGTGGGTGAGCTGTCTATAGCGGCCGAGTGGGATTTCCAGCAAGCGACTGCATTCAACACTGAAAATCCTGAAATCATTGACTCAACTGTGCACCAGCTCATCGGACGACAAGTGGAGATTCGACCTAATGCACCAGCTATACGAGCCTGGGATGGAGTGCTCACTTACCATGAGTTTAATGCTGCTGCAAACAGGCTTACACATTACCTTGTCAATAACTACACCATTCATACAGATGAGCTCATTCATGTCTGTTTTGAAAAATCTGTATGGTTCTTTATTGCTATTCTTGCTATTAATAAGGCTGGTGCAGCTTGGGTTCCTCTTGATCCATCTCACCCTGAGCAGCGCCACCAAGAGGTGGTTCAACAAACACAGGCAAGGCTTGCTTTGAGCTCGCCATCTAACGCTAATATCTGTGCCAGGGTGGGGCTTCAGGTACTCCTAGTCACGCCTGAGCTTGACTTGAGCTTGAAAAGCCAGTTTCCAGAATCAAGCCTCAGCCCTCCTGCGCAGGGTGCCATTTCACCAAGCAATGCAGCCTACGTCCTCTTTACTTCTGGCAGCACTGGTACACCAAAGGGCCTTGTAATGGAACACCGATCAGTGTGTACTAGTCAAACAGCCATTAGCCAGAGACTCCGCCTAACACCACATGTCCGAATGTTGCAGTTTGCTTCATTTGTGTTTGACCTGTGCATTGGTGAGATCATTGCGCCTCTAATCTCTGGCGCCTGTCTTTGTGTGCCTTCAGAGCACATCAGGATGAACAGCTTGAAGGAGTTTATCTGGGATGAAAAGATAAATTGGGCTTTCCTTACGCCTTCATTCGTACAGCAAACATTAAAACCAGAGGATGTGCCAACCCTCGAGCTCCTCTTGTTAGCTGGTGAACCTGTGAGAAACAACATCCTGGACACATGGTTTGGTAAGGTGCGTTTAGTGAATGGATGGGGCCCTGCAGAGACATGCTGCTTTAGTACACTGCATGAGTGGCAGTCTATTACAGAGTCTCCATTAACAGTTGGTCGACCTGTTGGTGGTTTCTGTTGGATTGTGGATCCTAATGACCCTAGCCGACTCGCCCCCACGGGCTGCATTGGAGAAGTCATGATTCAAGGACCTACAATACTACGAGGATATCTTGACAGCCCTAAGCAGACTGAGCAGCATATAGTAACAACTCTCCCTACATGGGCCCCACACCAGTCATCTCCCTACTGGAGCCGGTTCTATAAGTCAGGAGATCTCTGCTCCTATAATGCTGATGGGACTATTGAGTTTTCCAGCCGCAAGGACACACAGGTCAAAATCCGCGGGCTCCGCGTGGAACTGAATGAAATTGAGCATCATACCCTTTCAAGCCTTGAAGGGGTACGGCAAGTGGCCGTGGATACCTTTAATACGGAAAATGGCCTCGGACTCGCGTCCTATTTCTGTGTCGACATGAGCGCAGAAGCTGTAAGCAGTGATGCTGCGGGCGGATCTGCCAGCAACAGCGTCTTTCTATCGCTGACAACCGAGCTGGAAACCCGAATCGCTAGTATGGTCAGCCAGCTAAGCGTTAAGCTGCCTAGATACATGATCCCGACTCTTTTCATCCCGTGTCGCCGCATGCCATTCATCACATCAACCAAGCTGGATAGAAAAGAGCTACGTCGCCTGACAAGCATGCTGACGACTGATGAGATCGCCAGATTCTCACTTGCTGAAAGCATTAAACGAAAGCCTGAAACTGAAATGGAAGTACAGCTACAACAGCTTTGTGCCAATATACTCAATATCTCTACAGATGCAATTGGTAGAGACGATAGCTTTCTGCGCATCGGGGGTGACTCAATCTCTGCAATTCGCCTTGTTTCCGACGCCCGAGAGGTTGGCATCAGATTAACCGTCAAAGACATCTTCGATGACCCACGACTGTCAGCTATGGCTATAAAAGCATCTGAAGCCGGAACAGGCCGTAGCGAGTGGGACTCGGCGACGTCTACGATTGCTCCATTTAGTCTCCTTGACATACCTGTTCGCGAAAGCGTTCAGTCCCAATCTGAAGGCATGCCCCAGGTCACTGGCGAGCTGAAGGGCAGCAGGACACTTCGCACAACCATCCGGGACGAATGTGGTCTCGATAAGGACCAGATCATCGAAGATGCTTATCCCTGCACCAAACTTCAAGAGGGCTTCATGGCTCTGGCGATCAAGCAGCCAGGGTCTTATATTGCTCGGTACGCGTACCAGCTTCCTGACCAGGTCAATTTGCTCCGGTTCAAGGATGCCTGGGAGCAAACCATTCTCGCCAGTAGTAACCTACGCACGCGCATTGTGTTTGTTGAGGGTTCAGCAATCCAGGTTGTCATCAAAGATGACGTGCACTGGGACTCAGCAGGCAATGCAGATCTGGCATCTGTTGTTGATACCATGAGAGATGTGAAGATGGCCAGTGGCTGCCGGCTCTGCCGTTATTCCCTGGCAACAGGGAAGGATGGGCGCCATTATTTCTTCCTGGTTGTCCACCATGCCATCTATGACGGGTGGACAGTGCGTCTTATTATGGAGATGTTGCACTCTGCCTATTATGGTCTTGATATCAAGCCTCTGCGACCATACTCGGTATTCATGAATTACATCAAGCAACTGGATAACGAGGCTATGAGCACCTACCGGAAATCACAGCTTCAGGGTGTCACAGCAGCTAGCTTCCCGCAGATTGACAACAGCCCTTCATCAACACAAGGCAATATCAAGAGTGTCACTCGATCTGCGAAGAAGATCATCAGCTTCCCTGAATTAACTGGTTCTTCTGTAACCAAAGCAACCATCTTCCGCGCTGCTTGGGCAGTCGTGCTGTCTAGTTACTGCGATACAGATGATATCTGTTTTGGAACATCCATTTCAGGTCGCCATGCCCCTGTTGCAGGTGTGGAGAGAATTGCAGGCCCAGCAGTCGCAACTGTGCCTGTTAGGATTCAACTTGACCGACAGCAGAGCATCCAAGAATTCCTTTCCAAGGTCCAGAAACAAGCGTCTGACATGGTTGCATACGAGCACTTCGGCATACAAAATATTTCAAAGCTCAGCAAAGAGGCCGGGGAAGCATGTAACTTCTCAAGTTTGCTGGTTATCCAGCCCATTAAACAGCTGGTCTACTCTAATGACACTACCGGATTACTCCTAGTATCTGTGAATGCGGAACACTTCGGGGCGGACGAGATGGTAGATGGTTATTTCAACTACCCGCTCATCGTGCAAGGGCACATGTATGAAGACCAGATGGGACTGGTCATGATCTATGACTCTCGTTATCTGTCTGAGTTGCAGGTCACTGCGCTTTCTCATCAAATTGACCACGTCGTTCAGCAACTGCTGAAGCAGGACAATAAGACGCTACTTGCACAGGTTTCGGTAGCTGGCCCTTGGGACCTTCAACAAGCATTTGACCGCAACCAGGAAGAGCCTGAGATTGTGGATGCCTGCGTTCACCAACTTATTGAAGAGCAAGGAAGAATCCGACCAGATGCGCCAGCCGTACGTGCTTGGGATGGCAACCTCACGTACAGGCAACTCAACTGTGCTGCGAATCGCCTAGCCCACTATCTGACTGCCAGCTTTGGTGTGGTTCCCGACGACTTGATACACGTGTGCTTTGAGAAATCTGTGTGGTTCTTTATCTCAATCTTAGCTATCAATAAAGCTGGCCCAGCCTGGGTTCCTCTTGACCCATCCCATCCAAGGCAGTATCACAAGCAGGTCATTCAACAAACAAAGGCGAAGCTCGCCTTAACATCATCTTTGAACGCTGATATCTGTGTTGGTCTGGTACCCCGGGTGATCCAGGTGACGCCAGAACTCGATACCCGTCTAACTCACTACGGTGAGTCAGGCTTTTCCACCAACCTCAATGTTGAGAGTCTTAATCCACCGGCTTGTGGCGTCTCTCCTCGCAATGCCGCATACGTGCTTTTTACCTCCGGTACCACAGGGACCCCTAAAGGGCTTGTGATGGAGCATGGATCCGTCTGTACAAGTCAGACGGCTATCAACAAGCGAGTGGGAGGATCATCCGAATCATCTGATAGACGCATGTTACAATTCGCGTCATATGTATTCGATGCTTGTATCGGTGAAACCATCAGCACTTTAATTGCTGGTGGCTGTCTTTGCGTTCCCTCCGATGAGACCCGAATAAATAACATCACGGAGTTCATTCGCGAACAAGACATTAATTGGGCGCTACTTACACCATCTTTTATTCGTACTGTGAAACCAGAACAGGTCCCTTCCCTAAAAGTCTTAATGCTTGCAGGCGAAGCAGTTGGTCGCGATATTCTTGATACTTGGTTTGGCAAGGTCCGTCTCATCAATGGATGGGGGCCTGCAGAGACTTGTGTATTCAGTACAATACATGAGTGGCAGTCCATTGATGAATCCCCATTGACGGTTGGCCGGCCTGTTGGCGGCTTCTGTTGGATAGTGGACCCTAGAGACCCCAAGCAGCTCACACCTATTGGAGCTGTAGGGGAGGTGGTCATTCAGGGTCCAACTGTCTTACGGGAATATCTTGCTAACCCTGAACAAACCCAACAGCTGAAGGTGCTGAATCTTCCTGAATGGGCCCCTCGGCGTTTATCTCCTCACTGGAATTGCTTTTATAAGTCTGGGGACCTGGCTTCATACAATGCAGACGGCACCATTGAGTTCTTAAGCCGAAAGGATACACAAATTAAAATCCGTGGCCTCCGTGTTGAACTGAGTGAAGTCGAACACCATGTCCGCATGAGCTTGGAAGGTGTCCAACAGGTGGCGGTGGATGTATTCAGGAGAACCGGCGGAGAGAATGGCATAAGCCTGGTTGCTTATCTCTGTTTCAACCAGACCACCTGGATAGCTAATAAAGACGAGACAGAGACAGGCAGCATATTCATGCCGTTCACTGCTGACATGGAGGAACGCGTTGTGGCCATGCTGGGAGACCTCAACATCAAGCTGCCTCGTTATATGGTACCCACACTTTTCGTGCCTTGTCGCTACATGCCATTCATTACTTCGACTAAGTTAGACAGAAGGAAGCTTCGTGGTCTAACAGAGAGCCTCAGCAAGGAAGAAATAGCTGTATATTCACTTGTGGATACTAAAAAGCGCCCGCCGGAAACACCCATGGAGTATCGGCTTCAGGGCTTATGGGCAGAGACCCTAGGTATCGCAGCAACAGAGAAAATCGGACGTGATGACAGCTTCCTCCGTCTTGGAGGTGATTCAATTACTGCCATTACCCTTGTCTCTAAAGCTCGCGATTCCGGCATCCGCTTGACGGTCAAAGATATTTTCGACGACCCGCGACTATCAGCTGTTGCAGCAGCGGCTTCGGAGGTTGGTGATTCTGCAGACGCTCCTGTCGAATCGGAACCGTTCAGCTTATTGCCGGAGAGTGTCAAGTTCGACGATATTGAGTTGCAAATTCGGCAAGAATGCAACCTACTGGACAACCAAATCATTGCGGACGCCTACCCATGCTCTGGACTCCAGGAAGGCTTCATGGCACTTGCAGTCAAGCAGCCAGGCTCTTACATAGCCAAATATATATACCGCATTCCTGAATATGTGGACATTGGACGATTCAAGGATGCATGGGAACAGACAGTCAGGCTTTGCAGCAACTTGCGCACACGAATTCTCTTTCTTAATGGGTCTGCCATCCAAGTTGTAGTCAAAGATGACATTTACTGGGACACCACTGCTGATACAGACCTGGCTTCTGCTCTTGACAATGCACGCAATATAAGCATGACTATCGGCTCCAGGCTCTGTCAATACTCTCTTGGCACGGCACCCGACGGATCAGTCTATTTCATCTGGACTGCCCACCATGCTATTTACGATGGGTGGACTAGACGTATTATCATGGAAACGCTGCACCAGCTCTACCATGGTAGCAAGGTTCCGGCACTACAGCCGTATGTCAATTTCATACAATATGTCAAGAGTCTTGACCACCAGGCCAGCAGTGACTACTGGGCGACAGAGCTGCAGGGCGCCACATGTGCCAGCTTTCCAGGCTATGGTCCTCAGCAAGAGGCGAGTGCGGACAGCTCAGTCACACGATCTGTGGTGAGAACGATAGCATTCCCTCCATCAACCCAGTCCTCAGTTACAAAGGCGACGATTCTCCGCGCAGCATGGGCTGTGGTTCTATCACGGTATTGCGATAGCGATGACATCTGTTTTGGAACCTCGATTTCTGGCCGTCAAGCTCCTGTCTATGGGGTAGAGAGAATAACAGGCCCGGCAGTGGCAACAGTACCTGTCAGAGTCCGCTTTGACGGCCAGAGCACAGTGTCAACGTTCCTTCAGAATATGCAGAGCCAGGCCTCAGACATGGTCAAGCATAAGCAGTTTGGATTACAAAACATTATCAAACTCAGCCCTGAAGCTAAAGAGGTCTGCAACTTCTCTAGCTTACTGGTCATCCAACCAGCACAAATAGTGGCCCTCGCGAATGAGAATGATACTGATATGATACTGGTGAACGACAACACCGCGCATTTCTCTTCCGATGAGATGGTTGAGGGGTACTTCAACTACCCATTGATTGTCCAGGGCCACGTATCAGCCAACAAGGTCAAACTCATCATCATATACGACTCCAATGTTCTACCAGAGGGCCGAGTCGAGGCGTTATCGCAGCATTTTGAGCATGTTGTGGATCAGCTCCTCCACCAAGAGGACAAGTGTCTTGCTGAAGTGTCCGTGGCTGGTCCATGGGATCTCCAGCAGGCAATGGGTTGGAATCATGAATCTCCAGAAATCATAGACACCTGTGTCCACCAATTCATTGAGCGGCATGCCATGCTGCAACCCAACGCATCAGCAATATGCGCATGGGATGGGGAATTGACCTACAGCGAGTTCAACGCAGCAGCTAACAGGCTGGCTAACCATTTGGTTGATAATTTCGCGCTCAAATCAGATGAACTCGTCCATGTTTGCTTTGAGAAATCAGTCTGGTTCTTTGTTTCAATCCTAGCTATTAATAAAGCCGGTGGAGCCTGGGTGCCTCTAGATCCATCACATCCAGAGAAGAGGCAGCAGCAGGTGGTTGAGCAGACAAGAGCCAGAATTGCTCTGACATCCCCTACCACAATGTCTATCTGCAACAACCTCGTGGCGGACGTCCTGGTCGTGACACCTGACCTTGATGCACAGCTCAGTCAGATCACAGCCTTCAACAAACCATTGCCCTTCCAGTTGTCTCCGCGGAACGCTTCATACGTCCTGTTCACCTCTGGCAGTACTGGGACTCCCAAAGGCCTAGTAATGGAACATGGTTCCGTTTGCACCAGTCAAAGAGCCATTGGTAAACGACTCGGGATATCATCAGACATACGGATGTTGCAGTTTTCTTCGTATGTATTCGATGCTTGCATTGGAGAAGCCATTGGTACATTGATTGCAGGGGGCTGTCTTTGTGTGCCATCTGAAGAAATACGAATGAACAGCATCCGGGAGTTCATTCATGATTATAATGTCAGCTGGGCTCTGCTTACACCCTCTTTCATCCAAACGCTCAAGCCTGAAGATGTGCCTAGTCTTGAGGTTCTTATGCTTGCAGGGGAAGCCGTCAGCCGTGATATCCTGAATAAGTGGTTTGGGAAAGTCCGTCTGATCAATGGCTGGGGCCCAGCGGAAACCTGCGTGTTCAGCACTATGCATGAATGGAACTCAATTGACGAATCTCCCCTGACAGTTGGCCGCCCTGTGGGAGGACTGTGTTGGATTGTGAACCCGACAAACCCCCGAGAACTAGCCCCCATCGGCTGTGTTGGCGAGGTAGTGATCCAGGGTCCTACCATCATGCGTGAATATCTTGCAAACAACGACCAAACAGAGGAAAGCATCGTTCGCGACCTCGAGCTTCCGGACTGGGCTCCCCGTTGTAAAGCATTCCCGTGGAACAGGTTCTACAAATCAGGCGATTTGGCCTCGTATAACTCTGACGGAACCATTGAGTTCTCCAGTCGCAAAGATACACAGACTAAAATCCGGGGTTTCCGGGTGGAGTTGAGTGAGATAGAGCATCACATTCGCGCCAGCCTGGACGGTGTCAAACAGGTCGCCGTGGACGTCCTGAAGAGAGAAGGTGGTTTGAGCCTGGTGTCTTACTTGTGCTTCAACAACACCAGCCGAATTGCCAGTAAAATAGTAAGGCCGCGGACTTTATTAAACACCTTAAAGCTGACAACACAGGCCGCCTGGCAGCCACCCCTACAGAGATTATCTATGCAGGCTGGCTGTATAGCCAGCAGAAGGTAGATGCAGATAAGCTATGCAGCTCCCTAGTCCTAGTTAACTTTAACAGTAACAGGGCAGTAAATCAGGCACTTAAGCTCAGCCTTACACTTAATAGTAAGAACTATGCCTGCGCCTACTATGACCAGAACTTCTAACTCTAACAGTGCTACAACTGCCAACTCTATAGACACATCACAAAGTACTGCAAGTAACCCACTACCTGCCCCTACTGCGCGGGCAATCATCCCCCCACTGAATGCCCCAACGCCAGGAACTAGGAGAAGGCTAAATGCGCAGTCTGCACTGCAGTGAAGCAGCCAGACAATGCCTCCTTTGCCTATAACTGAAGCTGTCCAATTCGCGGGCATAAGCAGGCCCTTATCCGTGCAGAGAGACTACGCGGCCCCTAATTCCATGCTCCTGCGGCCCATTGGGCCCTAGAGACGCCTCCACCATCAATCCAACACTAGCAGAGGCGGAGGCAGCAGCAACAGCTCAGATTAATACCCCCCCAATAGTGCCCTCGGCCCGGCCCTCAACCCGGCCCCTGACCAGGGAGCCAACGAGCCAGTCTAAAGCCCGCATCATGACCTCTCGCAGCAAAAGCGCCCGCCGATGGGCACCAGAGGAACCGGCGGAGAGCGTCTCCACGGGGGATAGCAAGCAGATCCGGCTAGCCCAACAGGCAAGCAGAGACTGCATAGATGAAGATGCCCAGTGGCAACACCCAGAAGGGGCGCCCCAGCTGCTAGATCATGAAGGAATAGCTGCCATCATCATGGAGACACCAGCAGAGCAGCGTCAGCGCTCCTGCTCCCGACCTAAGCCAAACCCTGCGCTAGAGCTGGTCCAGTCTAATACCACTAATGCCCTCTCCACAGCAGCCCTAAGCAGGGTCAGCAGAAAGAGCAGGAACCACAGCCAGAGAGAGGCTGAATCTGATGACAAGCTATCCGCTGAGGCAGACTAGTTTATGGATGCCGAAGACCGCGGCACAGCTGACCAGGGCTCTAGTGAAGACACAGAGTAATGAACATAGAGCCTATACTTCACATATTACAGGCCAACATCTGGCACTCACGCGAGCAAGTCATGATGCACCTCTTTGGTGATAAAGGGGTATAGAAGCTCAAGATCCTGGCCATCCAGGAGCCAAGCGTCAACCAGTATACCACGCCAGTTTCTACCTACTCACAGGCCCTTAGGGGCCAATTCCATGTTCTACTGCAGCCTATGGCCCCAGAAGACATAGCAGACACCCCCCAGGTTTGCTTCTTTGTTAATAAATACCTCAACCAGAGACCTGATCTATAAAGCACTGGTGCCGCGACCTTAGCACCCTGACGCTCCAGCTTCCAGGGCAACACCTGGCCCATGTCCATAACATCTATAACCCAAGCCCACAGTTCACCCAGCAGCCTAGCGCTCTAGGCCTGCTGCAGCAGGCACTCACTACCTCTGGGGACCATATAGTGACTAGAGACTTCAATCTCCACCACCCAATGTGGGTAAGCCAGGGCTATCAGCACCATCATGAAGCAGCGGACCAACTGATCAACATCATGGGAGAGCATGGCCTAGAGCTGCTCACCCCGCCTGGCACCACTACATATGAAAAGATAGTGGAAGGCCAGCCCCAGCACATGATAATTAATTTGATATAGGCCTCCACAGAGCTGGCAGACCGGCTAGTCCAGTGCCATGACCACCGCGACTGGATCCACGCCGCAGACCATGTGCCCATGCTAACAGAATTCGACCTCTCCCTCTCACCTCGCGTGGAGATACGCCATCAACAATGGCGAGAAGCCAACTGGGAAGCCTTCCTAGGGGCACTGGCAGCAGTGCCCATGCCGCTTAACACCCTGCACACCCCTGACCAGGCCAACAAGGCCACGGAATATTTAGTACATGCCCTAGTTGGCGCCACAGGCCCCTCCATTCTGGAAGCCCGCCTCTGTCAATTCTCCCGCGCCGGCTACACTGATGAGCTAAGGGCACTACGCACACAGGTCAACCAAGCACATTAATAGGCCCGCACGGGCAACAAAGCCGACGTGGAAGCCTACCGACAGGCCATCCATGAGCTGGAACGCCAGAGCCATAAGACGGCCACGAAGGCCCACAGGGAGCGCGTGGAAGAGGCCACTCAGGACATAGATGGCTTCTGGAGGCTAGCCCACTGGGCCTGGCGCTGCGGGGAGACGCAACCAACCTTCATACCGACCCTAATCATTGGGGACCGCGAGATAGACCGGCCTGAGAAGAAAGCCGTGGTACTACGGGAGGCCCTATTCCCTCCACCCCCAGAGGCGGACCTAACCGACACAGCTGGCTATGACTACCCAGAGCCAATTCTAATACCCCTAGTGACTGAGGAGGAGGTCACATGCGCAGTGAAGCGCGTAGCGCCCCTTAAGGCTCCAGGCCCAGATGGCATACTAAATGCGGCAATCCAGAGGGCCCTTCCAATGATCGGACCATACCTGACACACCTCTTCAACGCCTGCCTCTCGCTCGGCTATTGCCCTAGGCACTTCCGCGAATCGACCACTGTGGTGATTCGCAAGTCAGGGAAGCCAGACTACACAACCCTAAAGGCATACTGGCCCATCGCGCTGCTCAGCACGATAGGGAAGGCGCTGGAAGCTGTCATCGCCACACGGATAAGCTACCTTGTGGAAACCTACGGGCTTCTCCCCACTAACCATGTTGGGGGGAGGCGCGGCCATTCATGCAAACACGCCATCCACCTGCTACTAGAGCAGGTGCATGCAGCCTGGCGTGCTGATAGCTGGGTCGCGAGCTTGCTCACCCTGGACGTCTCTGGCGCATTTAATAATGTATCTCACCAGCGGCTCCTCCATAACCTACGCAAACGGCGCATCCCCACCAATATCATCAACTGGATAGTGAGCTTCCTTAGCGAACGCTGGACCATGTTAGCTCTGCTGGAGGGCCCCATGGGCCGGTATAGAGTGAACATGGGTATCCCCCAGGGCTCCCCGCTCTCCCTAATACTATACCTATTCTTCAACGCCGACCTAATTGATGAGATACATGCGGCCTTCCCCGGCCAGGTCATGGTCACAGGCTACATCGACGATATCTGTATACTTGTCTGGAGTAAGTCAGCCCTGGTGAACTACCGCCGGCTAGAGCGAATACATGCCCTCGCAGAACACTGGGAAGCGCGGCATGCCTCCCAATTCAATCCAGCTAAATATAGCCTCATCCATCTCTCGTCCCAACATCGCGGTATACCGAGGCCCCTAGGCCCGCTGGACCCAGGGGCCTGGTTCTGTGACACTAAGGTCATGCCGGGCCCGTCCTTGAAATATTTGGGCGTCTATCTTGATGAGAATCTCACTGGCGCAGTGCATGTAGATCATATCCGGAGGAAGGCAGCCCACCTTATCTCAGCGCTTAGCTCCATTGCGGGCTCAACATGGGGAGTAGGCCTGCTGCACCTCCGACGCATGTACACCGCGGTGCTATGGCCGCAGATCGCGTACGCGTGCTCGACCTGGTTCGTACGGGGTGGCTTTGGCTTCAAAGGGGCCGAAGCGGCGGTCCGCAGGGCACTGGAATCTATCTAGTACCAAGCCCTGTACCGCATAGCCGGCGCCTTCCGCACCACGGCCCGCGCAGCCCTAGAGGTCTGCCTTAACATGCCACTAGCGATGCTGAATCTTGCCCGGACGGCGGAGGAGACATGTGCATGGCTAATGACATCACCACTATGTTGGGAGCTGCACGCCATACAGTCATTAGGCCGGAGGCCGGAGGGCTCACAATACGCGGACCCCGACAAGGACCCCTTGACCTCCCTGCTAGAGCGCCTGGAGCGCCAGCTCCCAGACTAGCTTGGCATCGCCCCTACTAATATCAAAACGATTGAACCGTTCATGGTCAGCCCTTGGTGGCGGCCACCCGACACCATGGTTGCAGACACCTGGGAGAAGGCCCTAGAGGAACACTGTAAGGTGCTCACTGGGGCCCGTGGCCCAAGCACGATCATTACATACATAGATGGGAGTGGAACTGATAAGGGAGTCAGTGCAGCAGTGGTATCTCCCCTAGGGAACCGGGCGTGCCAGCTTGAATCACTGGACACACATACTGTGTATGCAGCAGAGCTCTGCGGCATAGAACTAGCCTTATACCTAGCCACGCGCGCGGAAAGCCCCATCACCCGATTCCTGAACCCCCAGAGGGAACGCCGAATCACTATCTTCACCAACAACCAAGCAGCGATTCGGGCCTGCGCAGAGCCGAAGAGCTCATCCGGCCAGCACTATACATAATGGATTGTCAGGCTACTTGACCACCTCCATGCAGAGGGGTGGTGGGTACAGCTATAGTGGCTCCCTGGGCATGAGGGGGTCTATGGCAACAAACGGGCCGACCAGCTGGCCAAAGGAGCCGCGGACAGCGTGGGGGCCAGTAGGCCAGCGCTGGTGCTCTACGCCTCGCTACGTCGTCGCCTCCGGGTCTTACTAAGGGAACGCTGGCGCCAACTCTGGGCCGACCACGACCACGGCGCATCCCTTCGGAGGGTCATCACGACCCCGAGCCGCGCGGTGCTCCGGCTCCACGCGGGCCTGCGACGCGCGGCGAGCTCGGTGGTGGTCCAGATGCAGACGGGCAAGATCGCTCTAGCCAGCTATCTTGGCTCCTTCGGTGCACTACCAACGACGGATTGCGCCTGCGGCCTCGGCCGCCAGGATGTTCAGCACATACTAATCACCTGCCCGACCTACGCGAGGCTCCGGCTCCGCACGGTCTGGCGGCGCTCACAGGAGACTAACTATGTTCGCCTGCTCTGCAAGCCAGAGTTAGTATAGCAAGCCACCCGCTTCATGATTGCTACAAGGCTCCTAGGCCAGTTCCGGGGCTTACCAGACACATTCCAGGTTAGCGACAAGGGTGGCGACCCCTAACCTGCGCACCGCCATGGCTCGCTTGCAGGCTTATTCGATGAGGAAGAACACTAGGCTAAGCGCCCTTCGGGGCGTTCA